TTTTTCGATTATTCGACTAATCTAACAACTAATTTTTCAATTGATCTGGAGATAAATTTATTAATAAACAAATATTTTCAAGCTAGTCATTTAATACAATTCACCGCCTCCCCTACACACACAAATCTTAAATTCTCATTAACATTTCAATTTATTAAAACATTTCTTAAACTTTAGAGCATTATGAACAAAAAAGGCAAATCTTAAGAGATTCAATAGGATTTCTATGTTAGACTGAAGTTAATAAAAACTGCAATAGTTTTTACTTAATTATTTCAGTACACATAATTTGACTTTAATGATGAAATACTGTAGATGCTAAGACATGGAATGATTTCATAACTAGAGAAACATGTTTTTAATTAACAAACACTAACAAAGGTAGCTTATAGCCTAGTTAAGCTTACTTCAGTGAGCAAGGAACGATTTAGCCTATAGTGTGTAAGAGTAGTTGTAAACGATAATTTGTCTCACTCTTACATGACAGAATAAGTAAACAGAAAATATAAAACGGCTGAAACAGCGTCATTAACGTCAGCTACAGTAGAGATGCAGAAAAGGTGTCATGACTGAAGTATTACCAAACTTTAGAAGACCACGTGCGAACCTTTCTTGCCACGTGTTTCTCAAGAGGCTCCGGAGCTCTGCTGGTAGATGCAGCCACGTTGCCTTGTGTGCGGGGGCGGGGCGGACGGCAAATTTCCTTTTTGCAGGGTGGTAGGTCACGTCTCATTAATATTTATGAGAGAAGTGCTACATGATTGGCCAGTGCATGCCTTACAAAATAGTGAAGCAGTGAAACAACTAGCCAGTCTATTAGCGGAATAACTTTGTATTGTAAATGAAAACCATGCCGCAGGTCCAATATTGCATGTGCATAACATGCAATGTTGGTATTAATATCGTGAATTGTCCAGCCCTATAAGATACTACAGTAATTTTTCGAATTTAGTTCAAAACACCCCTCCATCGTCTATCTGGATGACCTGCTGGTTCATCCATCCAGCTTTGATGGTGCAGTGGCTAACCTGCGTGAGGTCTTTGTCGCCATTTACCAAGCCAACTTACACCTGAATCCAAGCAAATGCAGCCTCCTCCAGTGGAATGTGAAGTTCCTGGGCCATGTAGTCTGTGAGCAGGGCATCGCCATAGACAGAAAGAAGGTGGCAGTGTTGGAGTCCTGGCTGGTCCTGTGTTCACAGCTTTCTGGGTCTGCCCTTCATCTGTGGGTTTGTGGACATCACAGTCCCTCTGCACCAGCTGACACATGGGGGTGAAGTTCCAATGGACTGGTAACCAACAACAGGCATTCGATTGGTTCCGGCAGCCCTTTCATCGGCTCCTGTGTTAGCCTGCCACAACTCTGCTCTTCCCTTCATACTGAACACCAATGCTAGCAATGTTAGCATTAGGGCCATCCAAACCCAGCAACATCCAGAGGGAGAGATGGTCGTCGGTTATTACAGCCACTGCCTGAGCCAGTCTGAGAGGAACTCTTGCATGACAAGGTGAGAGCTGCTGGTTGTGGTCGCTAGACTGATGCTCTTGCAGCTCTACTTTTTTACGCGAGCTAGTTCATCCTGTGGACTGACCACACCTTGTTAACCTGGCTCCTGAATTACCGGGATTCTGAGGGCCAGGTGGCAAGGTGGCTGTAGAAAATACAAGTCTTCAAGTCTAACATCCAACACCAGGAAGTCCGGCTCCAAGGCAACATGGATACACTACACCGACATCCATTTGGGGGCGTTTGTGGCCACTGTCAATGGCTTGAGCAGTATCAGCCTGGAGCACCCACCATGACCACAGATCCACTGCAGATTCCCCATCCTGACACAACCCAGGACAACCCTGTGGTGGCGAGAGGCATCTCTCCTCCCAGGACTAGTACTCCCCAGCAACCCATTGAGCTTTCAGACCTGAGCCAGCATGACTTAAAGCAGGCGCAGGTGGAGGAACCGGACCTAGCATGACTTCCAGGCTGGCTGCATGGGGACAGGAAACTTAAGTGGCTGGTTGCAAGGGTCTACTGCTCCCAGTGGAACAACCTAGAGATCTGCAACAGGCTGCTGTACCAGCGTTGGGAGAGCCCATTCCCAAAAGATTCCCTGTATCAGCTGCTTGTCTCATAGTGCGTTCGATTATTTTTCTCCAAGTCGGAACTCGGATGAAAACGTCACAAAATGTCACGAAAAACGTCACTTGCCGTCGGAAACATGCCCCTTTTATGACGTTGAAGTCGGACAAGATTTTGTTGTCCGAGTTGCCCCTGTGACGTAATTTCAACATGGCGACTTGGTTTGTTTGTAGTTTGTTTACCGATCGAAAAAAGATTATCGCTATGAATGTACTAAAATATTTTAGAAAGCTTTTAATGTGGTTTGACTAGTTCGTGTTTCTTGTTTGTCTCGGAAAATCTCCATTTCTCCATTTTCTCCATTTGGAAAACTCCAAATCTGCTAAAATATAAAGCAACAACACACAGCAACGTGTTAATGGAGGCAGCCATGTTTGTTCCGAGATGTGGGTAGCTCGAACGGGAGATTGTCGGACGTGATGTCACTCAACTCGGAATTTCCGAGTTCCGAGAGAAAAACGAACGCACTATTAGAGTCCCTCAAGGCAGCAGTGCTGTCACTTTGGGGAGAACAGGACTCTGTGTTGGCTATGTCAGCGGTTCTATTGGCTCGGCCATCAGATGGAGCTCTACCTCCATTGTTGTGACGTGTGTACCATAAAACACGCCTCTTTTATGACGTTGAAGTCGGACAAGATTTTGTTGTCTGAGTTGCCCCTGTGATGTAATTTCAACATGGCGACTTGGTTTGTTTGTAGTTTGTTTGCCGTTCGAAAAAAGAATATCGCTATGAATGTACTAAAATATTTTATAAAGCTTTTAATGTGGTTTGACTAGTTCGTGTTTCTTGTTTGTCTCTCGGAAAAATCTCCATTTCTCCATTTGGAAAACTACAAATCTGCTAAAATAAAAAGCAACAACACACAGCAACGTGTTCATGGAGGCAGCCATGTTTGTTCCGAGATGTGGTAGCTCGAACGGGAGATTGTCGGACGTGATGTCACTCAACTCGGAATTTCCGAGTTCCGAGAGAAAAACGAACGCACCATGTTCGTTCTTGGTCAATCTACGTCATATCGTCCAGGCAGAGATACGATTCCGGTCGGCACCATAAAGGGACCGCCCCTCCCGGACAAAATACCCAGCAGCCCCGGGAACGAAAAGTATTCAGGGAAGGAGTCTTTTAACACAAAAAAATCCAAGCACTGAATCGAGTCGCATGTAGTTTCCATCTTTGAGCAGAGTTTGAAATGATCTCATAATCCTTCCTTGATTATAAGTAACTTGATAACCCTATAGGTTTTACGTGTTTTTTGTTACAAAAGAAACAAGACAATTGAGAAAAGGGGCAATCGTTATAAACTTTAAGAAACGGATACCGATAAAACAGGTGTTTACCAAGACTAAATAGTGTACCTTAATTGGCACGGTTAATTTTATATGTACAGCTGGTAAAAGTAACTCTAAATTGTATAAAAACCAAATCATGGGCGGCATTGATTTCAATACTAAACGAGGGCAGCCATATTGATGAACTGAACAAGCCAATTTTGACTGTTAGATCCAGGATTAAAGACACTTTAGGGGTTATGGCTCTTTCAAAGTAATACTTTTAACAGCTGTAAAATGGGCCATTTGACGTTTTCTCTTACTATTGTGCGTTCTTTGGCGCAATACCCTGTGAATCAGTATTAGTTTTTATTGAGCCACGATCTACATAATTAAGGGAAGAATAAACGTAGAAGTTGGATAGTAGCGATGTTGAAAGTTATTTTTTTCCATTAAGAAATTGAAATTTAAAAAGTTGTGGGATGAGTTCCTGTAAATGTTAAACATTATACGCTTGCCTAATTGGTTAAACTGTATGTATAGATGCCTCCAAACTATATCTGCGTTTGTATTAAAGCGATGTCTGTATACGCGCTGTCTTCTTATTACTAATAATAGCCTACATCTGAAGAGATGTTTCTTGACTTCATCTTATATCCTAAGTTAACGAACACGTAAAGTGTAAAGTTTCTTTATTTGTTTTCACCTTGTTTAAACATTAAGAAATGCATTATCTATAAGTACTGCTTGTTGATCATGAAATGCTTGAGTTGCAACAGAACCATCATAGAATTCTCAAAGAAATTAATTATAAAAATGTATGCGGGGTTCAATTTGCCATATGCTATACCAATTGGATTCAAATGGGTAGTTTAGAATTTCAATAAACATGCTAGCTTATCGTCTTCAAAAACATAGCATTCATTATATCATCTTAATTGGCCGAAGCATTAAGTAAAAAACAATAGTCCTATCCTACATATTTAAAGGGTGTAGAAGAAACACACAGTCTCTGAACTCTCGTCGATAGGAGACCAATAAGAGGGTTTTTATAATTCAGTCAACTTTAGAAAATGACTGGTGACAGTCCACTTAAAATACAGCGATGTAAGTCCAATAGCGATTAAAGCTACGTGTGCTTTACCATCTATACAGCCCATGCAGTAATTTTCCCTGGTGCGAAACGGAGTTATCGTCGCTACGCTAACCGAGAATAAAATCTATTTATTTAATTTGTTCTTAAGCAATGGTAGCAACATGTGATACTTATAACAATTAGTCATGTATTTTTTTCAGTCGCTTTACCCACTGATAGATAAATCATTGCTTGAAGAGAATATTTATGGCACTGAAAACATTCATTTTAACTGAAGGCAAGTTTTAACTGTTTAATACAAACTGTTTCAAAAGCCCGAACAAACTTTTTTTTAATTAACCGTCTTTTGCATATAAAATGAGAACAGTGAATGGTGAAAATTACAAAAATGTAACTTAAGTACAGTGCGTTTTTGCGTTTAACGTGCTTGTCGTCGATCACAGTCAACACTTAATCACGTGGAGTAGCAAAAACGCTCCTGCAATAAAAATGATTCGTTCCACGTCGAAGGCACATTCTGTTTTGGAGCGGAAAGGCGGTAGCTAGAGAGCAAAGCTATTGGATGGACCGCTCACTCCAGCTAGCGTTAATTGAAACCCTATAGCTCCCGCAGCAGCCCTGCGCAGCGCACATGCTCAGTTTTTCATTTCGTGTCGGCGAACAGTGCAGAGACAGCAGGAGAGCGAGCGATCGAGGGAGGGACAGTCCGATGGAGGGAGACGTCTTCGGTAAGTAGCTACGGCTTGCTCGCTTTTCATGCACATATGTCTTCTGTTGCTGCACCGGGGAACAAAACATTTCGGTGGGGACACCGAGCTCGCACCGCACTTCGCGATCAGTGACGTCAAAGCGGCTTTAAAGCAGACGATGAGAGCGAAAAGCTAGAGAAATGGCTGCACGATTTTTTGTGAGCTGGGCAACATTTTACCGACGGTTTTCAGTATCGCTTCTTCCTGTCGTCGAGCGTAAGAGGACAGAAACAGTCCAAAAGAGTGGGGAACGATGGGGGAGGGTACATGCATGCCAGACATTTAGTTACACTGCTCTACCTAGTTTCCGGCGGATGAACACGAACGTTGTGCTTTGTCGCGTTATTGAGACGGCGTTCAGTTTTGCGTACCGGGTACTGTGCCTTTTAAGGGGTTAACCCGATTTAATATTATTTATTTGGACATGATTAATATCGCGAGAGTTAGCTTCAAAATCGTTGATGACGACTTTATGTTGTGTTGGGCATTGAGTATTGCTTTTATTTGTGACTTGTTGTTTTAGCTTAAGTTTTATCCTAGGTGTCGCGGACTGTTTACTGTATCATTGATCTGTAATAACTGTAGTATGCATATGCAAAGCAAGTAATGAGCCTAAATAACGCAAGGTTACTGTGTATGATCTGAAGATTGTCCCGATTGCTGACTTTAACGGTGACGGTGGAAGTTGACACATTTATTAGTCTTTGTTTTATTAACCTTATACATGTAAAACGTAACTAATCTCTATGGGGATAACCATACGAAGAATCGCATCACATATGTAAAATTTCGTTGGTGCTAAATGTATATTAAAATGATCATAAACCAAGTTTGTTTTTCGTAATTTTTCGTATATTCTGCGAAACATTGAGATATAATTGTTGCGCGTATTTTTATAGCGTATTCTTAGAATTCTAAGAGCTGTACACTTTCTGATATGGTAAATGTTATTATTAAATACTAAAAATAAGTATTGTAAATCCTTCCGACTTCTAAATCTGTTCAACTGAGAATGTTGAGTTTCGAATGGTGACATAAAAGAAAAAAACAGACAGTATTTGACATGAAATAGCCCCAATAATTTGTCTGACAAAGTTATAGTCACATATTATTGGGGACGGTTGCTGGCAGTTTTGTGACCATGTCAAAAACAGTGGCACAGACAAAACGGTTTTGTGTTAGCCAGTTGTTACATAAGGGCTAGTACCAGCTGAGGAGAACCCAGATTCAGCATGGCTGTTTACATTTCGCATGAAATGTATAAGAAATGTATATATAGATTGATGTAGAGTGATGATTTTAGGATTGATGTATATTTAATTCATCATATGGTTTTTCTTTTTTTTTCTTACTGTTTTACTTGTATAAGTTAAGTTTTATAAGAAACATCTGGCACAGTGCATTATACCCCATTTATTTAATTTCATTAGCTTAAATTTAATTTTCTCTCGTTTCAATGTTTGTTTTAAATATGTCATTTGTTTTAAATGGATAATCAATGCAACATCTGCAAGTTAAATATATGTTATTATTATATTGCAAATACTAAATGACCACTTGATTGGGCAGTGGTGGCTTGATGGTTAGGGAAGCACACTTGTAATTGAAAGATTGCAGGTTCTAATCCCCACCAGCAAGGCACCACTGAGGTACCCTGAGCAAGGTACAGCCCCCAAGCACTGCTCCCCGTGCGCTGAATTAGCTGCTCCCTGCTATGTCACAAAAGTCACATATGGGTCAAATGCAGAGGACACATTTTGTTGTTGCGCACTGTGTGCTGTGGTGTGTTGACAATGACCACTGATCACTAAATTCTAATTCTAACCTGCTTGTTAATGCATGCAGCCTACTCTTCCAAACGAATCCTGCATCTACAAATGAATGAAGAGATTCAGTAATTGTTCAGCTGAGCATTAAGGTCAATTTATACTTATCTTTTCCGCATGTGTTTCAGTTGTGCACGAGGGGAAGTGATGTAAATTTCATCATCGGGGTTGCCTGTGGATGGCTGCAGTTGGCGCTCTTGTAGCCCAAATTTTTATGTCTAACGTGGAAGATAATTAATTAGGTATTTCCACTTGGTGGCAGCTCCAACTTTCACAGATCAGAGGTCAACGACGAAACACTAGAGGAAGAATAGCTGTTGTTGTTGTTGCAGTTATGGTGAGCAGCTATATGAGCGGGGTTGGAAATACCCGCATATTTTAATTTTTCATGCTGCCTAGACATTATACTGAGGTTTACGATATTGTAAAAAACAACACTATTCTGGAATTTTGAAATATTGGTGATAAAATTTACCTAGCAGGGGAGTGAGGGTCCTGGCTAATTTTGTCATAAAGATTTTAAAATACTGTGGTACAAGTCATTTTGTTTGTTACTGTAATATTGCCCAAGCCTTGACTAGTAACTTTAAAACCGTTCATGAAAGTTGACTTGTTTCACTACAGTGCTTGTATTTCTGTTTGTTGCAATACATGGGCCCTGGTCTGGTGCAATATAGCATGAACGCAAGCTGCCGCACACATGACTGTCAGCAGCCCGAAAGTGCACATGGAAAAGTGAAGTATGAGCTGGACTTTAGGGCTGGGTGCTGAAACCCAGTGCCAATACGGCAGAGGTGTGTCATGTACTGGACTGTGATACAACACTGATTTTGGTGCCACTTAAATGCCTGCGCTGTCATATGAAATATTTGATGTCTGGTACACCTGTAACAAGCATTGCTGTACCTCATGTGCTTTCACTAGGTAACATGACACTTGTTCTGACATCAGCAGATGCCTACCGTTGGCTAGTAGCTACCTTAAATCCAATTAAAATGCCTATAGGTAAAAGGTCTGAAGTGTGACTGTATTTCACGCAAAAGGATTCAACAAATGTTTAAAAACAATTTCATGTAAAGCGGGGAACATGTCAGATTTAAGGAAGCATCTGGTGACGTACGTAATACACTTGAAATCAGAGGGATGTACCGTGTTTGACATCTTGTGTGACTCCCTGCCAACCACATTAGTGTGGGTGTCCCTGGCCCTAGTGATGGGCAGACAGTTGGGTTGTGGAGGCCATTGATAATAGTAACAGCAGCCTTTCCTCAGGTTAGTTGCAAATCTTGTATTTACAAAGTAGGGGACACCTACAGTTGTAACAAGGGGACATTTGTAACATGCTTAACTTCTCTGCTTGTGTCTAACACAATGTGTTGAAACTCAGGCAACATATTAAGTTTTAAATATTTTTAAGTATTTTGTGTGTTTATTTATATTTATTCATTTAAGGTGTTACGTTAAAGCGGCAGTTCGCATTAGTGCTATCTATCCGTATAGACTGTTCTGCTTGGAGTTACCTAGTTTTGGAGATGTCAGCCTTAGAAATGTTGGTCTTCTCTCGAAAATAATGGGACCGAATGGCATTTTTCCCGTGGTATTTAAAGAACAAAAAATATATTTGAATAATTCATCAACAATGTCAAGATAATCCACACATACTTTGCAGATTTAAAGTTTTTATAAGCTGCCAAAATGAAAAAAAAGAGCCTTTAAGTCTTACACTTTTCAGAGTATGAAAGCACATAGTCTGTATGCCCTGTGTCAGTTTTTGTCTCTGTAAAAGCTGTTTTTCGCCCCAGTCTTTGTGTGTAAGTGGGTTTATTCTCCCTCACTGTTTTACCTTGATCCTTTCAAGGATCGCACAATAAAAGTTTGCTAAAAATTTTAATTTGCTGTCCGCCTCATGATCTCCTTGCCACTTGGGTGCTGCAATATTTTATTTATTCGAACTGCGCCATGTTTATGATTCATTAGTAAATCTGGCCAGCAGATCAATGTTTGTTTTTTTTGTTTTTTTTCGGTGGAAAACAAATGTAACGTTTTTCCACTGATAAGCTGGCAATTTGTTTAACTGCTGGTATTAAATTCAATTCTTAACTGATATAGTTTTCCAGGTATGCTGAAGATTTGGACACGATAGCCTGTGCTACTTTCACTGACATTACGGTTCCAAATTCCGAGACCAGCTTTTCTGTGCTGCCATACTGGAGCCATTTTTTTTCTGGACTAGCGCCAGTTTTTTGTGTCGGAAATGTGCAGAACCAGTTCCGGATTGGGAAAAAGCCTGACACCAGCTCCGGCACCACGTTGCTGGAAACAAAGCATTAGTGATTTTGAACATGGTGTCAAAGGTGGTGGTTTGGCATCTTAAAAGGTGGACATCTTCACCCAAAATTGAACTCCACGATAGAGGGCAACAAGGGCAAAATGGAGGCAGCAGCTACTTCTGTTAAACACAGCAATCTGCCGTCTAAAAGTATTCTGTGGATATCTTTGAAAATTTCCCAGGAACATTGTACAGGTCAGTGATTTCCAAACTGTGATGAGCAAGATAAACTTTATTGAGGAATATTCCAAAAATTATATCAGAGCTGTCACGATTACTCGATTAAACTCGATTAGTTGATTATTTAAAAGCATCGATTAAAAAATTACTAATCGATTACTCATGAATACGGCGGAAGTAGGACGGCGCATACAGAATTAGGATCTAAATAAAGAGCGAAAACATTACATGCGTGAATGAAAACGCAGTAGTCTGACAGTATCTCCAGAGCAGGAGTTTAATATCAGCACAGAACGACTACAATGTAAATACTCGTACGTGTTAAAGGTAGACGTTAAGGTTTTATGGACTTACCCAATAATGTGAGCTTAGCTATAGATATGTGCTATTTAGCCTGTCTTCACTTTTATAATTTTTCTTTATTTACTTTTTACAATTCCTGTACGTCAAAATCATCGCCACTAAAATGAAGGCTAGCCCGGTGGCTTAGCCACATCATTTTTCATGATACAAAAAATCATAGTAATTATATTGTGGACGTATTGTGTGTCAGGGCTGAGCTATACTGGAAAAGTTCACA